TATTTATTTATTTATTTATTTATTTATTTATTTATTATTTATATTTTTACATAACTATTTTTAAAATATATCTTTATTGATTTCAGAGAGAGGAAGGGAGGAGAGAGAGATAGAAACATCAATGATGAGAGAGTCATTGATTGGCTGCCTCCTTGCACTCCCCCAACTGGGGATTGAGCCCACAACCCGGGCATGTGCCCTGACTGGGAATCAAACTGAGATCTCCTGGATCCTAGGCTGACATTCAACCACTGAGCCACTGCCAACGGGGGTTCCATTGATTTTTAGAGAGATACGGAGAGAGGGAGGGGAGGAGGAAGGGAGAGAGAGAGAAATATTAATGGGAGAGAGACATCCATTGGTTACCTCCCACACATGGCTAATCCAGGTATGTGCCCTTGACTTGGAATTGAACCTGCAGCTCTTAGGTGTGGGGACCGATGCTCTAAGCATTGAGCGTCACCAGCCAGGGCTCCCTCCATTTTTCTTGAATTCAAAGAATAATGAGCTCACACAGTTCAAAAGCACTGGCAGTGAAATCTTAGCTTTCAAGAAGTTTAAACAGATTATTTTGTACATGCTAGAGCAAGAGATTGTACTTCCTGACAATATTACCAGACTAATAACCAGCCCTCTACAATGTTAAGATAAAGTTTAAAAATATCCTCAAGATGTAGTTTCTGGCATTCATTCTTGTCTGTGGCACTAGAGGCAATAGAATCAATCATTTTACTCACCCTCACTAACCTCTTTCCAATGAGCACTCTCTCTCCTACTCTCTCTTCCCCTCCCCCCCTCACACACACACATTTCTTTTCCTCCTATACACTGACTCATGTTTGTCCATCTATACTTTTCACAACATATAGGCTTTAGATTTTTTTATGAAATTTATTGGAAAACTCGTCTTCAAACAGTGAAGTTTTTTCTTCTGTAATGTAGCCAGATCATTAAAGGAAAGAGTGGTTGGTTGGTTCCTGCACAGCATGAGACAAACCTTCCTTCTACAATGGTTGAATTTTTAAAAATGAGAATCTTGGAGGATTATCTTTTGATGCTTTTCAATATTCTACATATATCAACATATATATCTGAGTAAAATAGATTTGAAACTTTGGATTGCTACCCATTAGTAGGTCACTAAGTCAACTTATGATGACCACATTTGAAAAACAAAATATAATGGAATAAGTAGGCAATTTTAGATTGCATCAACAAGAATGCTGAACACTATTGAAAAACATTTCTTTGTATGTTACAGAATATACCCAACATAATTTTTCTATTGGCTGTCATTTTTTAAGTTTAAAAATCAGCGCCCACTCTGTGTGTGTGTGTGTGCATGTACACAGAAGGCAAAAAATATACACAGTAGCACACGAGTCCACTATGCTATACGAAGTGTTATTCAGGTGCCTTCTGTCAACTGCATTGCATTATAGCTTTGCAATATTCAAGAGACACCTGGAAAGTTATGACTTCATATTCCAAGGTCTGCGAGTGGTCACAATATTAATGCACCTTCACAATCACACTCCAGGATGTATAATGAAGAGATGCTGAGAAAATGGCCTGGCCCTTTCAACAAGTTGATTACACTCATGCTTGTATCATAGGACACGATTTTTCAAGTGTATGTTCAATAAACATTTTAAAATGTTAACTAAAATGCAGTGAACTTAAACAAAAATGGCATTGTAAAATAGCAATCATGATTAAACGTGCAGCGTGACGCTGGCCGACAGCGGCGGCTCGCCGTTGTCCTTGACCAGCACCAGCAGCCGGTGGCGGGGCGCGTCGCGCTCGCTCAGCGGCCGCGCCGTGCGCACCTCGCCGTTGTGCGCCCACACGCCGAACAGCCCGGGCTCCGTGGCCCTGAGCAGCTGGTAGGACAGCCAGGCGTTCTGGCCCGAGTCGCCGTCCACCGCCACCACCTTGCCCACCAGGTAGCCGGGCTCGGCCGCCCTGGGCACCAGCTCGGTGCAGGGCGCAGAGCCGTTCTGCGGCGGGTACAGCACGAAGGGCGCGTTGTCGTTGGCGTCCAGCACGCGCACGCGCACCAGCGCCTGGCCGCTCAGCGCCGGCGCCCCGCGGTCGGTGGCGCGCACGCGGAACTCGAAGGCCTGCAGGGCCTCGTAGTCCAGCGCCCGCAGGGCGAACAGGTGGCCGTTGTCGGCGTTGACCGACACCAGCGAGGCCAGCGGCAGGCCGGGGTCCGGGGGCGGCAGCAGCGAGTAGGTGAGCTGGGCGTTGGCGCCCGCGTCGGCGTCGGTGGCGCTGACGCTGCCGATGTGCAGGGCGGGGCTGTTGTTCTCGGGGACGAAGAGGGTGTAGGAGGTTTGGGTGAAGGCGGGGGCGTTGTCGTTGACGTCGGAGACCAGCACGGTTATGTGGTGCTGGGTTGTCAGCCTGGGGGTCCCCATGTCGGTGACGGTGATGGTGACGTTGTACTCGGATCTCATTTCTCTATCCAGCGGTCTCTCTGTTACCAGGGTGTAGAAATTTTCTACTGATGGCTTCAGGACGAAGGGGAGACCGTCTTGGATGGAGCACAGCATCTTTGCATTGTTACCTGAATCTTTGTCTCTAATTCTAAAAACAGCCACGATAGTCTCGGCTGAGTTTTCTGCAACTGAGCTAGTAAGTGATGACATGAGCAGTTCCGGCGGATTATCGTTTATATCTGTCACCTGAACCACCACCGTACATTTTGCAGAGAGCCCTCCGCCATCCTTGGCCTGAATAGTTAATGTGTAAGATTGCATTTCCTCATAGTTTAATTCGGCTTTAAGATGAAGGCTGCCAGATGTTGAATTGATTTGAAACGTTTGAAGAATTCTTTCAGTGGCATAAAAAAATGCATAAACTATTTCCCCATTACTTCCCGTGTCCAAATCTCTAGCGGACACGGAGACAACCAGGGAGCCGACGGGGCTGTTCTCCGGCACCTGCACCTTGTAGAGCGACTGTACAAATTCAGGGACGTTGTCATTTATGTCCAGAACCTGGATGCGCACCAGGGCGCTCCCGGATCTGGGCGGAGAGCCGCCATCCATGGCAGTGAGTGTTAAACTGAGCTCAGGCACCTCTTCTCGATCTAGCAATCGATCCAGTACTAATTCCGGGTAGATATTCCCCTCCCCACTATCATGCACATTAATATGGAAATAGGCATTGGCGCTGATGGTGTAGTTTTTCAAGTTGTTGGTTCCAACATCTGAGTCCTGTGCCCTTTCTAGGAGAAATGCCGCCCCTGGAGTGGTGCTTTCTAATATTTTCAAGGGAATCTCTCTCTCTAGAAACACTGGAGAATGGTCGTTGATGTCTCTGACCCAGAGTTCAGCACGGAAAATCTGAAAAGGCTTTTCCAGTAACAACTGGAAAGGCAGAGCGCAGGGCTCCGTGGGACCACACAGTTCCTCTCGGTCTAATTTCTCATTTAGAAGTAAATCGCCAGTAAGCGGATTGAGTAGTAAAAATTGTGTGTTCTGATCCGAAACGATTCTAGATCCCCGAGCTGACAGTTCCCCCACCCCCAGCCCCAGGTCATTTGCTAGGTTGGCCAGAAAGGTGCCTCTCTCGGTTTCCTCCGCCACAAAATACCGAAGCGGTTCCGCGCCAGCCCAAGACACTCCCAGAAATACACAAAGAAATAGGACTTGCCTTTCCCGCACCTCGCGCTCCACGCTGGCCTCCATTCCTCCTTTCATCAGTCTTTCAAAACCACCTTCGCTCGGTCCCACGCAGCTTTCAGAAATGGCAGCAACAGAATCCTTAGAAGTGATCTTATAATGGCAATGCTTGTGGGGAGGGTTCCCCACCTTTCCCCAACTCCTGTTAGCACCGTTTCCTTTCCTCTACCTTTCTGGCTGGCCAGATTTTCCCCTTGCACTGGAATCTGCAACATCCTTTGTAAAGTCTTCTCTCCCTCTCTCTAGCCAGCAGCGCCACCTTGCGTTTTGTGGATGTTTTTCCCGTTTTCAAGGATAGAACAAAAAGATAGGGGGTTAAAAAAAATAGCAGCAGCAGTGATTTTATGTTCCCCGGGACCTTTGCTGTTTCATTCCATCTTTTTCCTCAAATGGTCACAATAATGCTAGTACTGACATCGTCCTCTCCTTTTATAATCTGAAGTCATAGGAAAATAAATAGGTTGTTTTCCTTAATCTGGGGGCGTGAAATTAAACTCTGAATCCCCATCAGGAGAAAAAATTTAAAAACACATACCTTCTTCTTTTAAAACTGATAGTAAAGACTATATAAGAAAATGAAGTCTTCATCAAAAAGTCAACGTTTATTTTTTTAACTGCTTAAGAATAATTCCGTTCATACTGCAGAGTAACAGGTCTTTTTTCGGTTCCTTGTGAATTAAGTAATCCTTCTGGTTTCAAGGTCTTCACTCTTTACCCGTGATATTTTCTGGAACACATTCTGTACCCCAACCTTCACCCACTTTAGGTAATAATGACTTAAATTACTGTTCACATATAATTTCAATGGCTAGCATCTCCAAGGGTATGCAATAAATACTCTTTAAATTAGCAATAGCAAGTGGATCATTCTTACCTTTGTGAAAGTGCTCCTAGTATTTCAATTTTAGCTATGAGGGTTGATCTTGACTTGGGGTAAATGTTCCTTTTTTGGATTAAGCAAGTTTTCTTCTTTTTCTTTATTCTTTCATATTTTAAAATAATTTTTGACATTTGTTGAAATTGTACCTTCATTCTTTAGCTCTTTAATTCTCAAGTTCTTGCTATAATGATAGTGAACCATGACGTATTATTGCTTTAATGCAAAAATGGATTTGATGTGTCAACATTGCTTTAGGACTTTTCTGGCCCACATTACTCTGTGTATGTACATGTGTGTGTTTGACATCTATGGTTTTGGTGTTAAACTATCAGGCCTCATAGAATGGATATGGAACATTTCCATCTATTTTTTAAAAATATGTTTTATTGATTTTCTTTAGAGAGAGAGGAAGGAGAGGAGAGAGAGACATTGATGTGAGAGGGAAACATCGATTGGCTGCCCCTACCAGAGATTGAATCCACAACCCGGGCATGTGCCCTGACCCCCTGACCAGGAATCGAACTGGCAACCTTTCAGTGCACCAGGCAACACCCAACCAACTGAGCCACACCAGCCAGAGCTCCATTTATTTTTATGCAACAGAATAGTTTTTATATTCATATCATCTGTTTCTACATGCTTAATTACAACTTGCCTTTAAAATGGGTTGGGGTTTGTGGGTTCACTGGTGGTAAATCTGTGGTAAAATGGAATCTTTTGCATTTTACTTTGGTTATTACTCTATACAGGCTGTTTTCTTTGAAGTAATTTGTATTTTATTTTTTGAAACCATTCATTTAAAAAACACTTAATAAATTTATTATGCTTTCATTATATTATTTCTCTTTAGATACAGCCCTATTCTTATTAATGTTTAGTATTTTAAATCCTTATTCATAGGGAGACTTACAAGACATTTATTTTACTTATCTTTTAAAATGCTTTTTTTTCAAAATAATATCTAATTTTGGTTCAAAAATTAAATAGTACTAAGAGGCTTATAATAAAATACAATAGTTTTCTGCCCATTCCCTCCTCAGTTTCTTAGTTCCCTTTCCAATAGGTAGCCATTTTTAGCTCTTTCAGTTATTTCTTCTGCCATTAACCTGTATTCTGCTATATTTTATTTAATTCATTTTAGATGTTATCAGTTGACCCTTTATTATGTTGGATTCGGTTTTAGCTCTTATACACTTCCAAGGATCTTTGATGCCTTCTTTCACTCTCAGTATCATTGAGAGCATTGTTGTGTACTAATTACTTTTTCTCACTTTTTTCTTGAAGTTAATAATTGCTTTGATTTTTCATTTACTTAATTTTATTTATATATATCACTTATTCTTCCCATACTTCCAACTGCCTCTCAGTACAACTTTCCACATGATCATTCCAATATCTCCTGAAATATCAATTTTCTACATCTACATCTGCTGCACAGCTATCACTCTGGGACTTTCCTTTGTTGTCATTCTTATAATTTTTCTTTGACTTTTATTCTGGTTGGTCTCCTTTTTCTAGGGTTTTGTTTCTTCTTTTTTGTTGTTTATTCTGTGGCCTTAATAGATCACATCATCCAATAGTTTCATCCAATTGATATATGTTGGGGGAGTTGATGATATCCTTCAAAACGCCTGTCTCATACAGCTCCAAACTGGATTAGTCTATATTTGAGACACAATTGTCATCCTGGGATCATCCTTCAACATCATCTGGAGATTCATTTCACCTCTGTTCTGTTTTGGATCTTCTTTTTTCTATTTCTTCAGACTTCCTCTCTCTTAGGTTACTCTCTCATTTTAATATCTTCCAGTAGTTTCCAGAGAATGGTGTATGAGAGTTAAATTATGTTGTGGCCTTAAGATAAATTATTTTTATGTTACCCTCATACTTGATTAGAAGTTTGATTATAAGGTATTAGATTAGAAATAACTTTTCTTCAGAATTTTTAAATATTTTGTCAATGAGCTCCCTAAACCAATGTGTTTGTTAAGAAGTCTAAAGTGAATCTTATTTTATATCTTCATATGTGACCTGTATTTTTATTTCTTGTTGTATGTAGTATGTTGTCACTGTCCAAAGCATTTCAGATTTAACACCAGTGTGTCTTGGTTTGAGGTTATTTTCATCCATTGTACAGGAAAATTGGTAAACTCTTTCAACTAGGAAACAAATTTTCTTGAATTACTTTATTGACATTTTCTTCTGCTTTTTTTTTTT